AGTTTGCTTTCAAGAACTATTATAATTTTAATTTTTTTAAATACCCTTACTCATATTTTTAATATAAAAAAGTCATAATTTATCATATACTTTTGGTCCTCTGTAAATGGTTTTACCAAATTTGATTCTTCTTTCTTACTATTATATTTAATATTTATATAACATAATTTTAAGATTTTTTTAGTTTAAAGATTGTAGTAATGTTAAGTACCAATTCTATGTATTATATGTATGTAGAATTAAGCTGATGGCCTTGGTAGCCAATGCTCTTAATAAAAAAAAAAGCAACGTGCGGTAAGGATGGGCAAATGGGAAAAAAAATTGATATATGTCGAATCGATATATTTCAAACGTATCGTTAAATATTGATTAAAAAATATCGATATATTCTGCGCAATAAGCGACTTTCTATAAAATTGTCGAAATATTTTAAAGCACATACCTGGCTATTATGCCTAACGTCAAGTGTTAAACGTACGTCCACGTCGTTCACCTCGGTAATACTTGGATCTAAGAACAGGCAACGCACACTCACTATCTGCCCTGGGATCTATGTAGCTGAAGCGTTTAACGCTACCTCACCAGTGCACTCGATCACGGTGACGGAATCCCATGATCCTTTCCGCACTTTAACACGCTTCCTAACCCTCTTTTCGTCCTTTCCTTGTCACCTTTCTCCCTAGGCTTACCTACAAAAGCCTCGGTTCTATTGGCTTTTGACGGGAAAACCGATAAACTAATAACCCCTCCTGCGCTATTTCGGCATCGGAATTTGTCAGATGCGGTTTCGTACTTCCAAAACTGTGGAAGAGCCAGTACCAGGCAAAGGCCTAGCGATCGGGAACCCAGAGATTAACACCGAAAGGTGGGTACTAAACGGCATCCATTTACAACCCAATTTCGGCCAAAGGGCGCAGACTCTGCTTCATCTCAGGCTCTGTGTACCTGAAGTTCAGGGACGCGAAGGGGAAATACATCGACACTCCGCCGACGAACAACCCCGATGCCCTGGGATCTATGTAGCTGAAGCGTTTAACGCTACCTCACCAGTGCACTCGATCACGGTAAGGGAATCCCATGATCCTTTCCGCACTTTAACACGCTTCCTAACCCTCTTTTCGTCCTTTCCTTGTCACTTTTCTCCCTAGGCTTACCTACAAAAGCCTCGGTTCTATTGGTTTTTGACGGGAAAACCGATAAACTAATAACCCCTCCTGCGCTATTTCGGCATCGGGATTTGTCAGATGCGGTTTCGTACTTCCAAAACTGTGGAAGAGCCAGTACCAGGCAATTGCCTAGCGATCGGGAACCCAGAGATTAACACCGAAAGGTGGGTACTAAACGGCATCTATTTACAACCCAATTTCGGCCAAAGGGCGCAGACTCTGCTTCATCTCAGGCTCTGTGTACCTGAAGTTCAGGGACGCGAAGGGGAAATACGTCGACACTCCGCCGACGAACAACCCCGATGCCGCCCCCTCGGAACCAATGGAGACTACACCGGACGTAACACCTGGACCGGCTCCTACATGGGCAGCAAAACCAGACGCCGGCTGCCCGGGACCTTCGCACGAGGCCTTTTCGCCTCTGCTTGCAGGCTGTCTGCTTGGACTCAGCGAGCTTGAGATCGATCAGTGGTGGCGAGATACGAGGACTCTCAAACTTGGGAGGTAAGCTCATTCAAGCCTCTGTTAACGACGTGAGAGCCTGTATATACACTTCAAAAGATATTAAAACACAGCCTTTAACAAATTTCTGTGACAGAGATCTCTGTGCCACAAAGTTGACCATGAAACATGATAACCATAACTGCGGTATGATCCTAGCATCTGCGTACATGCACGAAAGAGAGCGAGCACCACCGGAGGAGGTCGCCTCCTTGGTCCGCTTCTTCGCGCAGGTGGTGGGGTCCTGAACTGGAGAGAATAAGAAAGTAGGTGAGGAAGAAGTTTAACCGAGCCATGAACACCCGAAGCGAAACTGACTGGGCCAACTACAAACCTATCAAAGCTAGTACAAGAAACGAATTAGATACTGGAAAATAACCTCCTGGCGTAGTTTCACTGCGGAGATAAATCCACTAAACAGGCAAATCGGGTAAAGAAAATCTTGACCAAGCTGGGACCGGGCGCTTAATGGAATCTTCGGAGACCCGACGGCACGATGACCCAGAACCAGACCAACCACATCCTACTACAAACCCATTTCCCAAACTATCAATCAATTGAACAGGTAGTATAGCGTGACATTACGCCAACACCGACGGAAGGATGCTGAGCGCCTGGCCAATGAAATCGTAACGTCTGTAAAGGTGAGATGGGCAATCAATAGTTTCTCACCCTTCAAGGCGGCAGGAAGTGATGGCATCTTCCTAGCGCTACTACAATGGGGGGGCAAAGACATAGTCGTAGCACTCACTCGTATACTACTGGCATGTCTAGCTCACCGATACACGCCCATAGATGGAGAGAGGTAAAGGTAGTATTCATACCCAAACCGGGGAAATACGACTATACCAACCCCAAATCTTTTCGCCCCATCAGTCTAACATCTTGCCTACTCAAGACTCTAGAAAGACTATGCGACAGACATATTCGGAGTGGTGCACTGAATACAGCTCCGATACATAAACATCAACATGTTTACACAACGGGCAAATCTACAGAATCGGCCCTCCATCAACTAGTCTGTATGATAGAAATGGCCTTTCACAATAAACTCATCTGTTTGGACACTTTCATTGACATTGAAGGCGCCTTTGATAGAACTAACTTCACCAGCATTGAGGAGGCTCTTAAAAGACATGGAGCTGAGCCACAAATTATAGACTGGATTGTGAATATGCTACGCAACAGGATAGTACGGGTAGCAGGTGAGGACAGTACAGGAGCACTGGTCGCGCGGGGATGCCCTCAAGGTGGAGTACTCTCACCGTTACTATGGAACCTGGTGGTCAACAACCTGATTACCCGCCTGAACGCTAGTCATTTCTACACCATAGGGTATGCCGATGACATTACAATACTAACTCTAATCACCCACGCTGGTATAACCTGCAACATCATGCAAACAGCCTCGAAACAAGTCGAACGCTGGTGTGAACAATACGACCTGGCCGTGTACCCAGCAAAAACGGAACTGCTAATGTTTACAACCAAACGCAAAGTAGGCACGTACTGCCTACCGAAGCTATTCGGCACCACGCTACAACTGTCCAAGGAGGTAAAGTACCTAGGTGTAATTCTCGACAGTAAACTAAACTGGAACAGCCACATAGAACAAAAAATCAAGACTGCTAGCGTTGTTTTGTGGCAATGCTGCAGGATGATCGGGAGGCGCTGGGAACTTGCGCCAATATTGTTCTTGTGGCTATACATCACATTCATAAGACCGATGGTAAGTTATGGTGCCATCGTATGGTGGCCAAAACTACTTAGTCTATATGTGAGAACAAACTACAAAGCTTCCAGCGGAAGGCATGCTGCGCCCTAACAGGATGTATGAGCACGGCTCCCACGGCAGCTTTGGAGGTAATGTTAAATATTACACCGCTACACATCTACATCAGATAGGAAGCGGCAAAGACATGAAATGAACTGAAATGAAAATATCTTTATTCAAGTAGACTATAAAAGCACTTTTGAATCGTCCAAAAAACTTTTTTCCCCTACCACTTGTTCAGGACGTCTTTTAACTGACAAGAAGAACAAGCGAAAGAAACTTACCAGCTTTTTATCATAAGTAATGACATTTACATAAATCATGTCATTACCAAAATAATATGTATTATCAATTTATCACAATAGTAAATACAACTTTCAAAGTCTGTAGGACATAGGTTGAACATATAACTAGTTTTTATAGAAAAAAGCGAAGGCTATTAATTCCATGCATTGCGATCCTTAAAATAATCATCAACTTTATAATAGCCTTTACTCATAAGTATATTCTTTACATGAATTTGAAATTTATTTATGGGTAGGTCAATTACATTTTGTGGAACTTTATTGAACATAGCAATACATTTACCCAGAAATGATCCTCTGGTTTTTTGAAGTCTGAAGCTTGGAACGGCAAGTTTATCTTTATTTCTTGTGTTAAGATTATGACAGCATTGAGACTTAAAAATTACAAACTGGTAAGGTTCGAGACCACCAAACATCTCAATGGCTTACTGAAGGAATGGCTCAACACCCCACTTATCGAAGCGGCGTGTGACAGAATCGAACCTCGAAAATGACAAAATCGAAATTCATTTTCGATAAGAAATACAAGATACATCTTATGAACACTGATAATCCAAAGGTAACTCACAAGGCCCTCACAGTCTTCACGGATGGCTCCAAAACCGCATCAGAAGCAGGTGCCGGAGTATTCTCCGAGGACCTCAACATACACCTCTTCCTGCCTCTCAGCTCATACAATAAAGACTTTCAGGCTGAGTGTATGGCGATTACCATGGCGGCGAGAGCGATAGCAACAAGGAAGGTAACAGGATCAATAATCCGGATCTACTCGGACAGCAAATCCTTTTTACAAGAATAATTTTCAGTATGGCATTGTGAATGCAAAATTAATCAAAATATAATAATTAGAACAAAATTCTCATCTTTATCGAAAGATTTAATATTTGTAACAATATTTCTTTCGGCTGTTTGGGTGGATGCCTGAAAATTGTCGAGAATACGCTCTGTAGTAGCGAAAAATAACAAGTGCTTGAAAGATTCGTTAGTCCTGTTAGGTCCTGGGTAGCTCAGTGGTTAGAGCAGTCGCCCGGATTGCGAAAGGTCGGGGGTTCGATTCCCATCTCAGGGTGACAGGGACCAAGTGGATTTATTAAGCATTTTATATTAAGAATAAATACCTGGCTGTTTTGACATCAGTTTTATTATTCAATATAGGTACATAAAGCCAAGAAAACAACATCATTAACACAACAAAAAGTACATAGTTATGTTACCCCTCGCCCCTCTGTATTAGACTAAGGGGGTTTAGTCGGCACCCTGGATACAATTCCTATGAATGCGTGGGCGTTGCTGTCTGGCCCTCTTGGACAGTTTTTATTGGGGATAATTCTTTTGCTAACCTCCAAATCGGCAGCACATAGTATTAAGGCTTAGATTTAAATTGCATTAATTTTTTTTTTTTATTAAAAAAAAGTTAGGCTCCCAAAACTTGACTACATTATTCAAACAATTTACATTGTTATTGAAATCAGAAACACTCTTAATGATACCAACAAGCAGTTTTATTATCATAGAGAAACAAAAAAGACAAGCTTTTTTCTTAATTTAAGAAATACATGATGTGATGCATGAGCAGACAAAAAAATATAATAAAAAATATATCGATTTTGATACGAATTTGATACCTGAAAATAAATATCAAAAGCCGATATATCGCAGGAAAAATATCGTTTATTCATATCGTTTTTTTTTTCAGAAAAACATCGATATTTTGATATATCGATAGTTTTTGCCCAATCCTAACGTGCGGGGTTTTGTGTTCTTATTATTATAAAAACACAGATAAATACGTAAAACAAAAATAAATTGCTTCCAACTTCCGTTATATTGCTTAGTTGTAAAAGGAGCAGACGTAATGGTTTCCAGTGAAGAAGAATCTGATGTCAAAATCGCAGATTCTGTAGAATGGGATGTGGACATGGAGATACAATTATTTTACGCTATGGCAAATCACAAGCCGGTCGGAATAAACAAACATTTTCACATGGCCTGTATATGGGAGAAGCTTTCAAACTCTATCACTAAGGAGATATCTACCCAAGATATCTGGAAACACTTAGAAACATTATATGATATATCAATGTTAGATGATACAGAACCAATTCCCTTCCCAAATCATGAAGTGCCATTTAGTTTACCTGAGAGTGAATTTGGCGTGTTAATAAAACAAAAATGTAAAGAATCAATAATAAATGACGATAACGAAGGTACCTTGTACATAATTATAAAAACAATTGTGCATGTGACTAATTTAATATTGCATATTTAAATGATACCTACCTCGTATTTAGATGAGCGGAGCCTGTCACCTAAGCCCTCGACCCCTAAAAGCAGTTCTAGGGGCTTCGCATCTAAAGATATGACACCAAAAGGTAGCAAATTCAGAATACACTGTAACTGTAATTGGGGAAACTATGCTTCTGTTATCTATCTTGTTTTTCATTATTAACATAAATAATTCAGTCTATGACAAAATAAACATAGATTATCCAAAATATTATCATTAAAATTATTATAAAATATTGACATTGCTTTTACCTATCATCACTGTTTCTTGTCAAGCAATCCTGCCTTTTTATTGTTATCAATATTTGTCACTTCACAATGTTTCACTTTCAAGAAGTTATTACACTCATTTTATCAAACTTTTAAGGATCGAGTCGTAAAGATAGTATTGGTGCAGTTGCTACAAAAAGTCGTAAAGAGAGTGGAAGCTCTCATGCCTCAACTGATACACCGAGTATTAAATCTGAAAAAGATTATGGTAAGAGTAGATATTTATTTATTTCATTATAAATTTATCTTTAAGCCTTATCAAGTTGTTATAAACCAACTGAATTATGGTCTTAATCATATAACTATGTGCAGAAAATAATTTTTGAAATAGATCTTGCATCAGATAATCATTTGTATTAGGGAATCATCTAATTATAGAAGATGAAAGTGAATAAATAAAATTGTACCCATACGGTGTAAAATAGGTAAAGGCTCGGCTCACTTTATGAAACTTCTAACTTAGTATTGTGTATGTACTTAATGATCAGTCACCAAGCTCACATACAATAATTGTTTTATTTTAATTTCATAAATAATAAAACTGCGAGTACTTGAAAATTTTGGTTCCCTTTAATAGTGAATGTAGCAATGTATTAATACTCAAGAAATACTACAATGGTATTATTGAATAATATGTCCAGGTTTTATCTTGGGCATTCAAAAGTGTAGACTGTCTATACATATTTTTTCAAAAAGACAAAAATAAATAAGTTCATTGTGAATACAATCTATTGAATATGGTATTGGCTGTTTGATTGCAGACAGAAGAAGAGATTCTAGAGATTCAAATGCCTCTGGCACTAGAGATAGCTCCACCAGTAGGAAATCAACTTCGCAAAGAGATAAGACACCAAAGGCAAAAGTGGGCTCTGTATCAGGTCAGTAATCATTTCACCTTAATTATGCCTTTATTATGGTGCCTTATTTATGTTTTCCAATGCATCAAAACTGTGTCTGAAATTAAGTAAACTATATCTGCTGCTCTTGCTTAAATATTGCTAAATAAAAAAGTGTAGAAGCAGCCCTTTGCCCATTACATCACACTAACAGGGTCTTAAGGCAATTTGACAGAATATGAGAAATCCCTCCATACACCCTATGTCTTGTACCATATATACACATGAACAATGTATTGATACAGAGAGCAAAGTGTCTCACTATTGTGACTACATTCAAATCCAGATTAGCTATGCATGAATAATTAAACTAATAATAGATTTCTTTAACAGTTTGGGATTCCCCTTTAATAGACGAAGATAGTATAGCACGTCGTGGCAGAAGACGAGCTAACACCTCTACCCCACCAGCAACTACCCCTGCGAAACGGCGCAGAACTTGACACACGCCTGCCCATACCTATCACCATTTCTTCTGACACCCGCAGTATCCCTGGTCAGGATCAGGGGCTAGTCGTGACAGAAATCACTACAGTAATACGTATTTCACGCATAGAAAGTACAGATAAAAAATATGGTTAAGAGATTGCATACTGACAGATATTACGAACTTTGTTAAAAGTTTGTATTATAAAGTTATAACAATTATAATTATTAAAGATAATTATTAGTGATTTTAAAATTCTCCAAGTAATGTAAGAATAAAGCATCTTATATGCTTACATTATCCAACATAATTTAAAAATTATAGATTGGGAATCTGTCCATATAAATAACTGTTATAGTGTATAGAATATTTAAAATAAAAGTTGGGAGTGATGTAAGCATGCTATATTTTAGGGCATCCAAATATATAAATTTAAAGTAGGATAGTTATGTGTATAATGACCTTAATCTGTCAGCACATTCGGCTGTCCCAGTTCAAAACCTAGTAACTGTTTTGGACTAAATTTTACAGGAGAGCAAAAAAAACTTTTTAGGGTAGCTCTTTTAAACTATTTAACACCTGTTGAGAAATTATTATTTACAAGAAGGAGTAATTTGAAACTGTTAATTTAATATATAAATTATTTGTCTAAGTTTCATTCTACAAATTTTATGAGCTAAAATATTTTTAACAATAAAACGTCTAAGTAAAAATTGACTTCCAAAACCATTTCAAACCTAGTAAGTTCTCTTACTAGATTTTGATCTGGTTTAACATATTGGCTAAAAATCAGCTTATCCAGATCAAAAGCTAGTAAATTCAAATTTATGCAGCCATTTACACATGTATTTATGTTTCATTAGGCGGCATTCATTTGTTTATTTTCTTCTATTTGTCCTATTTACGTCACCCAGTATTAAAAATTTAAATATCGTGTTATTTACGAGTACGAGTTCCACCATGGTACCAGTGCTGCGGAAACGGCTCGAAGGGTTAATGATATGTATGGCGATTGTATCGCAAAAGAAAACACAGTACGTTTTTGGTTCCAACGTTTTACAATGAAGAATTGAAGGGTCTTGTGAAAGCGGATCCATCGAAAACCACGTCTGAGTTAGCTGCAAGCTGCGGTGTTAGTGATAAAACTGTTTTAATCCACTTGAAGCAAATTGGAAAGACTAAAAAGCTTGAAAGGTGGGTACCTCACGAATTGAGAGAAGCAAACCGGTAAACGCGCTTCGACTGTGTTTTAACTCGCACAATAATGAAGGGTTTTTAAATTGAATCATTACCTGTGATGAAAAGTCGATTCTCTACGATAATCGGAAGCGCTCATCGCAATGGTTGGACCTTGGCATCCCAGCCAAATCCTGCCCCAAACCAAAATTGACCCCAAAAAAGTTACTTGTAAGCGTTCGGTGGACGAGTACCGGTGTCGTTCATTAGAGTTTTCTCAAATCTGGCCAGAAGATTACGGCAGACGTCTATTGTCAGCAAGTGCAATCCATGCTGGAAAAACTAGCTGTTAAACAACTGAGGCTGGTCAATCGCTCTACGCCACTGCTATTTCACGATAACGCTAGACCACACGTTGCACAACAGACGGCTACCAAATTAGAAGAGCTTCAATTGGAATGTCTAAGACATCCGCCGTACGCCCCGGACCTTGCTCCAAAGATTACCATTTTAAGTCAAATACTCAAAGTGGGCATAAGTTAGACGACATAAGTTTGGGTACCCCTGATCTAGTCTATGGTTCCATTGCTAATTTAACTTTTTCTTGATGTTCTTTTTGTTTGGTCGAAATATCTTCTGGCACTTCAGTACCTTTATGTGTATTTCTCTTAATTTCTACTTCAAAAAATGAACAATCCGCGCACTTATTTTCTTTTGGCATATTTAATGAAATATTAAGTCTTTTAATTGTTTGTCGATAAACTTCTACACTACTGCGAAAATCTTTACCTTTACTACTACTATAAACTTATTTAGCAAAACTTAGTAACTCACTATTTTAATGTCTTACGAAAACCACAAAATATTGTTTCTATACATTTATTCACTTCATAACCCAGTAACTAGATTTGACAATTTCAAAAACCTAGTATGTGCTAACACATACTAGAGTTTTGAAATAGTTAAAGATACATACTAGGTTTTATAATGGTTAAAACTTAACTTTTCATAAATTTAGAAGCACTTACTAGGTTTAGGGTACCCTATAACTTTTGATAGAAGTGAATTTTGATATAGGGCATTTTGGCATCTTGTGGGGACTTATTGGAAAACCACTTTTAACAAAAAAAACACAATTTCTACTTTTTGTAGACTTACTAGGTTTTGAAATGGGACAGCCGCATGCTTTAGATGCTTTGGATTAGTATTTAAGGAATGTTAATATTTACTGAGGAATTACAGATATATAGACTATTGTATCAATTTTGTGTATATTACAAAGTAAAGCAGGATTGTTCAAACCTGTTTTTCCTAGTTTTGCAAGCTATTTAAAATTGTAATTTAGATATCATAAGGATATCTTAAGGTAGTAGCAGCATTGTCACTTTATTGTGTTTATTTTTCAATATTTGTATAAAATTACCATAATATGAATATACCTTTCTAGATTTATTATAAGTGAATAAAGAAGATAGTTTAATGTAAAAGGTGTCTTATTTGAAAATACGTTATCATTAAGCAGCGATTACACCACACTGCATCTATTGTACTAATCCTTAATCTGTGACAAGGTCAGGGTACTAAGGGCGCTTGTGCACTACACTGAATTTTCAGGTCCGGCGGTCCGATTTTTTCCGGTCCGGAATGACATGAAATAGGGCGCTTGTGCACTACACTGAATTTTCATGTCCGGTGGTCCGATTTTTTCAGGTCCGATATGTCAGGCCATATGTAGGTAATGCGTACGCACTATTAACTTAGTAACTCACTGTCAGGAATTTTACCGTCCGGAATTTTACTTTTCTCTATTCCGGACCGGGTTTTTCAGAACCGTGATGGCGGCAATGAAAAACGTGTTTACGCTTGTGCACTGCTGTGTCCGAGATCCGGAAAATTCATAAGGAATAGGCTTGGGAAAAAATAATCGATTTGAATCGATATTTATTTCGGCAATATTGTTAATTTCCAATAAACTTATAATCGATATTTATTGTTGTTTATAAAATGCTATATTTTATATGATGATTTGATATAGTTGGTATATATCACTGCATAAGCTTTGGCAAACTTGGTATAGTTCTAATTTGATCAGCGTATGGTTCTAGTATCGATACTTAGCTAGATTTTAGAATCGTATTAAAAGTATCGATAGCTTAAGGTAAGATAAATAAGTGTTGTTACGCTTAGACGCCTAAACAACGGAACCCATCTAAATGGAAATTAATATAGTAAATAGACTTATCTTTAAGAAAGGACATAAGCTACATTTTATCGCGAAAAATAGGGGATGAAAGTTTGCCTGGAAATTTGTCATTATCAAATTTTTTTTAGACAATTGATAAGTATAGATAAATATTTGACAACAGAAGTAATAATAAAGAATAAACAGAAGATTAACAAAAGTAATTAAGTGATACTCAATGTCTTTTTCGCATTTAATAAAATTTTAAATGTATGATGGTGTCATTAATAAATTTTAAAAAAAGAAGTATTCTAAGGGAATAATATTTCTGCTCAAAGAAACTACACCACGCGTATAAAATTATGATTATATATAATACAGTCAACTGATCTCGTAAAGTTCATTTAGCATAATAATTCTCCGCTAACTCGGCACTAATTTCGATTTGTTTACGAAATGGTGCCACCGATTGGTCTATCTCTATAATCGCTGAAAGTTGTTTTTACAAAACTTCGAAAAAAATACCACGTTTAAAAATTTTAACATCAAGTACTAGACCATTATCAGTAATTTTATTCTAATGTCACAGATATTTTTAGCTATTGTATGTGAATAATGCTGTTCCTAAATTAGTAAGGGTATAAGTTTTTACATCTGATAGTAGTCATCCGATAGTAGTAAAAAAATGTTTTCGTCTTGCCATAATTTATTATAGTTTATGTAAAACGATCAGATCATTATTTAGGTACCTTTCTACGTCTTCCAAAAATCTCATCGTACCTAGCGTAAGTGACGTGTAGCTTCAAAGAGAGCTGCCCTACACTGCGCCGCTCCGATCAGGAAAAAAAACGGACAAGTGCACAAGCTACTCATCCGAGTTTTTCATGTCATTCCGGACCGGAAAAAATCGGACCGCCGGACCTGATAATTCAGTGTAGTGCACAAGCGCCCATACTCGGATGAGTAGCTTGTGCACTTGTCCGTTTTTTTCCTGATCGGAGCGGCGCAGTGTAGGGCAGCTCTCTTCGAAGCTACACGTCATTTACGCTAGGTACGATGAGATTTTTGGAACGTCGGTAATTCTATTCGAAGACGTAGAAAGGTATGATCGTTTTACATAAACCATAATAAATTATGGCAAGACGAAAGCATTTTCTTGACTACTATCGGATGACTTCTATCAGATGTAAAAACTTATACCCTTACTAATTTAGGAACAGCATTATTCACATACAATAGCTAAAAATAAATGTGACATTGCTTGATAAACGTGCAATTTTTTTTCGAAGTTTTGTAAAAACAACTTTCAGCGATTACAGAGATAGACGGCGCCATAGGTGGCGCCATTTCGTAAACAAATCGAAATTAGTGCCGTGTTAGCGGAGAATTATTATGCTAAATGAACTTTACGAGATCAGTTGACTGTATGATAAATAGGCATAATTTTATACGCGTGGTGTAGTTTCTTTGAGCAGAAATATTATTCTCTTAGAATACTTCTTTTATTAATGACACAAACATACATTTAAAATTTTATTAAATGCGAAAAAGACATTGAGTGTCACTTAATAACTTTTGTTAATCTTCTGTTTATTCTTTATTATTACTTCTGTTGTCAAATATTTATCTATACTTATCAATTGTCTAAAAAAAATTTGATAATGACAAATTTCCAGGCAAACTTTCATCCCCTATTTTTCACGATAAAATGAAGCCTATGTCATTCTTAAAGTTAAGTCTATTTACTATATTAATTTCCATTTAGATGGGTTCAGTTGTTTAGGCGTCTAACAACACTTATTTATCTTACCTTAAGCTATCGATACTTTTAATACGATTCTAAAATCTAGCTAAGTATTGATACTAGAACCATACGCTGATCAAATTAGAACTATACCG